AAAAAAAAAAAAAAAACTTTTCCAGTTAGCTTCTGAAGATGCTCTGCCACACTGGTTAGAGCAGTACAATTCTTCTGCGGATACCTGCACACATGCTTATTGGTTAGTATTTGTATACACACAGGTGCTTTAAACTGTTTATCTAAACTGTTTTAATTTATCACTTCTATCTGGTTTTTCTATAAGTTCTGTGAAATCTTGCATTTCTCACTTAAGAAAAATGAAGTCCCATGATCAGTCAAATGAGTAAGCCCATCCTTTGAGTGGAAACATTAAGCTATACACTTGCTCTTAAAGTTCTAATACGTTATGAGTTCTGATGTTTAAATTCTACTCTAGTAGAAGTATAGTGACCCAGGAGTAGCTTGTGCTTCGGTAAGTGGCTTGATCTGATCTATTTTTGTGGTAGGATAGTTCAGCTCTTATTTGAGGGAAAACAAGTTATACTTAAGCTTCACGCAGGGACTAGATGTTAAGAAACAGCTGTTCTTGCACTACCTCTTGTAAGTATCTCAAATAACTCGGCAGCTGGTGCCTTCCTTCCTGGGGAACAGCCCAACTGGTTGAAATTTTAAATTATTGCCAGAGTGAAATTTACAGATCAGATACGGATTTCTTCCGAAAACCTGAATCTCTGTTCTGTATGATTTAAACCAGTGATATCTTTGGCTTAGAGCTCTGTCTAGTCATTTTGAAGACAGGGTCCTGAGTAGGCTAACATTTCCCTAAAGCTCTCACATTAGAGAGGTATTTTGTGGCTATGGATAAAGTGCCTTCACCTTATGGTGTACTTGGAATACTCGATCTGAACTCTGTTGAATAGAGTTTAAAATGAGACTAAGTTATTTAACATGAACTGGGTACCTTTTGCCTGCAATATTCTTCTGATTTTTTTTTTTTTTTTCTTTTTAACCTTTCCCCTAGGAGAGGCAATTGTAAGAAGGCAGGCTTGGGGTTAGTTTGTGAAGTGGGACTCCGCTGTCGAACTTACTATGTCTTGTGTGGTTCAGTACTGAGCGTCTGGACAAAAGTAGAAGGCGTTCTAGCCTCTGTCAGTGGTACAAACGTGAAAATGCAAATAGTTCGTCTAAGAACAGAAGATGGGCAGAGGATCGTAGGTAAGTGGCTTGTCTGCTCCTTTAATTCCAGTGGGGTGGGAGGGAGTTGTAACTTAAAAGTCACTCCCTGTTAAGTCTTGTGTAGGAGACTAGGCTTACAAAAGAAACGGTTTGTCTGTGTGCGTATGTTGCAGGCAGAGGGCAGGAATACAAATGTTAAAGTCTGTATTTGTAGTGCAAACATGTTTTTAGAGTCAGGTTAAAGAAGGAAGAATCTCTTTCAGCCAGGCTTTGGAATACTTGTTCTCTCAGCTCATATTCAAGTCACATTTAGCCTGTTCCAGCCAACCTACCTTTGAAACCAGAAGGACTTTGCGGTTTCTCACTTCTGGCAAAGAATAGTAAGCCCTTAAAATGCTTGCTTTCATGCTTTTTAAGCTATTGAAAGTCACATGTAGCCACTAGTCTAGAATGACTTAAAGATTATTATATCCTTCCTTGCTGCTTTTCTGCTGAAACTTTTTTTTAAATATGTAGTCTTGTGATGTGTAGGGTCATGGCAGCTCCTGCTCCAGTGACCTTGTTAAGATGCTGAAACAAGGTGTTTCAGGGTCTCTTCTTCCTTGCCTATAAACTCTTGTGCTTTTCTAACTTCTGTCAAATTAGAGAAGCAACAAAATAGCCAACTTCTGGTCTTAATATGGCAGCAGGTAACCCAAGAATAAACCTGTATTTGGGAGAAAATGGCGACTTCTTTCTGCTCCTTCATGACCTAAAGGATCTAATGACTTGTAAAGATAAATTTTTTTTAATTTAGAACTAGAACTTGTAGTTGTCCTTGATTAGACTTGTCACTGGAAACTGTCGCTATTGACCGTTGCATAAATTAAAAGGTGGAATTATCAGCCTGAGGTTTTAATAGGCAAATTGTTTGCGTGCTTATGAAACACAACTGATCCGTCGCTGTTTTCAGGTTTGATCATTCCTGCAAACTGTGTATCGCCCCTCGTAAACCTCCTGTCAACGTCAGACCAGTCTCAACAGCTTGCAGTACAGCAGCAGCAGATTTGGCAGCAGCATCACCCACAGAGTATCACCAATTTCAACAATGCATAAGAGGACATGCTACAGGTGTTGACTCTGGTGTTTGAGGAAAAGGCTGTAAAAGCATATCACTTGCATAAAAATCAGGGACAGATTCCAAAGAAATATAACTTTTTCAGTTCAGTTGTGTGCTCTCAAACTTTGGGAATAAAGAGATCTAAAAAGGTTGGTAGAACTGAAAGCCAGCAATTGTTTATGGTGGTGCATCTGTCTTTCCTTATGCTCTCTGTAGTGCTTCCTGTTTGCTTTTACTTTTGGCCTTTTCAGCTACAAACCCACAATTTGTTTGAAAATGCTTGAAAATCCCCAAGCAGGCTTTATTTTTATCTTGTCATACAGTGCTCAGGGTTTAACGCAGTGCATCAATGCCATTGCTGTGGGAGATATCCTTGAATGCATGTATTGAGTATATATATAGAAAATATATATTGGGTTTTTCTCTTCAATTTGTAAGTTTATAAAAGCATGAAACCTAGAGGTTGCACATCATGCATTCAGGTTCCTTCCCAGTTTCTGTTTGACAGTGCATGTCTTTGGAAACGGATATGGACGGGATAAACACACACGAGAGGAATTCAGAGAGAAACACAATCTTAGTTGTACAGCATTGGTTATTGCATTTTTATAGTGTTTATACCCAGGTGTTGCATTTTTTTCTGGTTCTCTCCTGGGGGTTATATATTTGAGTCTACCACATGTTCTTTTTGTGATAAACATCTTAAATTAAAATTAGTTCATTTTTAATGTATTAATGGTATTCCTAATGTGTACTGCAAAGATGGCTGGATGCCTGTTTTCCTTAAATTGAAGCATTTCCTTAATCCGAGGTGGTTATGGAAACTTAAGTGCAAATTCACTTCCATCTCGCATACAATCTTATATTTTTTACTTCATTAATGTAATTTAATTTGTCACTTGTAAGATGAAACCTTACTTGAGCTGTAAATTAGAGAATGGGAAACACTTGAGGGTTCCGCTGTATGTGCTGTTTCTGTTACCCAGTAACTTGAATACTGTTTAATATGTTGTAAGACATTGTAGAGTTTATCTGGAGCTGTTTAAAAGAAATTGTAATGTACAAATGTGAATAGTCACTTATCTATAATATGGGTAAGTTTTGTTTTGCCTATAATAGTAGATGTTTATAAGAAAGTGAAGGACAATGTTTGTCATTTCTTGCTTGCACAGGTTGCACTATTGAAAATTTGAGATTGTATAAACCTGTCCAAAAAACTACAAGATAACAATCTTGTAGATGTCAAATAAAAGTTATTGTACTAACAAGAAGTGGAGTCTTGTTTAGGCAATCACTATATTCCAAAAAAACTAACAAGTTTTTACAATTGGAATTCAACAGGACTTGGCATGTTCCAGTCTGTTTTAACCAGGCTTCTGTCTTGCAGTCCAAATGCTTCAACTGGTTAATGAGACAAGGAATAAACTGTGTTAAACCTTGATGCATATGTTAAGTAATGTTCACCTGACAGGCTTAGTGCAGTAATCCATTGCAGCGTGTGTCACTTCTGTAAACATTCAGTGAAACAGATTCAAGTGTCACAGAGTTTTTCCATGAGTAACTGGGACCAGAAGTTCCATGACTGCAGGCTGAAGTGAACTCCACTGCATGGATTATTTCACCTGTCGTTCAGTTAACACTGCCTGTGCCAGCACTCCAGTGCAATAACAGCTCGGGGCCATGGGGGAAGGAAGTCTGCTTGCTCAACTCGGCAGTCTGAAATGGTCGAGGGGCATGACTCGTCACTAGATGGAAATGCAGTTCCAGATTAAGTTGGCATGCTTGCTATTGCTGTAGCAGCTGCTATATTTCTGTATAGTACTTGTGACGCGGGTGGTAGGTGTTTTGTATCTCTTTCCCTTTTTTCCTTTTCTTCTAATAATTCTCTGGTAGTAAAGGGAGGCTCACCTGGATGCTGTATGATATCAGTAGGAGCTGATCTATGCCATGGAAGACAGCGTGTGGGGGAGGATATGCTTGTTCAAAGCATAGAAACTTCTACCCTCTGACTGTAAGGTAGTATATTGTACCTTAATCTTCAGTAAGATGGTTCTAGGAGTAGTAGACTCACAAATAATAACTTTGTAGCAAGTGGCTATCTCACTCTACATTGGTTCCTAAGTGCTCTTCTCAGCCTACTGTGCTACCTTTGGGTTGAGCAAATACTGAATGTTCTCTGTACTCGTTACCAAACCACACCTCTCTTTCAGGGGGATTGTGGCATATACTGTTCATTCAAACCCTTTAAACTTCCCAGGGACTTGGTTTCTGGACCAGGGGGTATTCTCATCATTAAAGTGAAGATCTCTAGGAGTTGTTTCTATTCTGGTATCAGTCCCCCCACTTGGTCTCCTTTGCCTGTTCTCTGCCGTTTGCTGCTGTCAATGTCTTGGCTTTGTCATTCATTTACTAACAAATCTGCATCCATGGCTCCAGAGCGCTCTAACATCTGAAAGGTTTTGATCAAAAAGTGGTTAGTCTTCATGTTTTGTTGTTTCGAAATGACTTTTTTTTTTTTCCTTTTAAGCCTTGACATTATAGCATTTTTGGTTCCTGGAAGGCATTAGTGCTGCTCACTTTCCATGCAAGACTTGCCAGTGCAATTTTGTTTTGATAGTAGTTTTCTTGCATTAGCTGCTGGGAGTGATGATCACTGATAAAATCTGGGGGAGGAAAGAACTAAGAACTAACTGTAGATAAAACTATGGACAGGATAAGGAAGAACTACTTGGTATGTTCTTAGAGCACAGCCTGTAATTCAAACATTTTTGCCCTGAGGAAAAAGGGGAGACCAACTGTCATAACTTTTCAGGCTAGGCAAGAATGATCATTGTCTCCATTTTTGTCACTTGTGGGACACTGACTTGCTTCAAACAAATCACCATCTGAAGTCAATGTAAAATTAAAAGAGGATAGAGGTCTCTGGTAACAGAGCCAAAGCTACATGTATAACGCTGGTAGTAATTTCTGTGCTACGTGAGTCCTGGAAGCATGCTATAGAGTGGGAAGATACTTGTTATATATATATTTATATAAAATATATATTTTAATTAAGTTGACTTGGGAATTGAGGGGAGAGAAATTTGGGGGGTTTTTTAAGCTGTTCAAGAGTCTGAACTTTGACCTGTTAACTAGGTTCAATTCCATGTTTAAGATATGCCTGACAAGCAAATGCAGTTATAGCTTGCTTAAAAACCTACTCTGCACAGCAAGTTTTTAATTTTTTCCAATCACTGTGTGATGTTAGCAACACACCTCTCATAAGGACTGATAAGTTCCCCAAAGAAGCCTGTTGTGTCAGTGTGTAGAAGTATTTTCTTTGTAAATGAAGAAAACTCTGCAACCTGTAAACATTTGTCTATTGAATTATCAGCGGGTTTTGTATTTTTCTTTTGCATTTGGAATAAGTTTTGTTCAGATCCCATCATCATCTGTACATATATAGAAAGAATATGTATGTATATAGAGATGTTAAAGGCTACTGAATTATTGAATGTAAATAACTCTTGTTTTTCTTTGTATATTTTTTGTTGTTGTTGTTCATGACCTTCCCAAGATGTATTCCTATTTTCTCAACTTTCTAAACTGGCAGTTTGTGTGTACTTTGAAATATATATAGCATATATAAAACATCCAAGGGATGTCTGCATACATTGTAGATGTTATATGTTGTTGTCTTTTTTTTTTCAAAATTATCAATTGTCTGTCTTCCATTATTGTTTTGATGCCCTGTGTTTTTATTCTGTATTTTTAATGTATAATGCATTTTCTTGAGAAAAATTGATTCCTGATGTGTTTCGGTGACTGATACTGTTCATTGCTTAGTGCCTTTATCAGAGAGAAATAGTCAAATGTTCATACAGGTTTTTCTTTAGTCTTTTCAGTGTACTTCAGCTCTTAAGGTTAATCCCAGATAAATTAGTTTTTTGCTGCTTAAGTAATATCTCCTGCAGTGCATTTAGGGAGCATCTACAACAAGACTCCGTTACAGAGAGCAAGAGTTCTAAAATTCAAATACATTCGCAACAGTACTTGCCCGCTATCCCGAAGCGCAAAAGCATGACTGCTCTATCCATGTTAAATGTGAACTGTCTTTAAAAGTACTCTCGAAAGGTGGGTAATTTGACAGCAGAAAAGATGCAGCTGTGGTAGAAAGTTTCCTGGGAAAGCTGTGAACTTCCTGTCTTGTGTAAACGTGCAAAATGGAGGTAATGGCATTTCCTTGCCTTTGAGAAAAGGGTGCATTTTTTTTTAATTGCCAGAGGAAAGTACAAATATTTAGATCTAAGTTAGAGATGGATGAGAAATCCATTGGGTTGTCTGTCTCTCATTTAGCACTTAAAAATAAGCTGTCCATGTGTCACCCAGGCGTTGCCCTTGCCCTTTTGCTCGTGCTAGGACAGACCACGTCCCTGCGTTGGTTTCCTGGATTACGGGCTCTGCAAAATCCGTTGGCTGGAGAGTCATTGCAAGAAGCGTCCAGCTGCAAACAGCAACAACATACTTCTGGTTGTTTCCATGGTCAATGTAAGATGCCAGTGAAGGTGGGGAAACGATGGAAGCATTTGTGTCGCGTGCTGCTAGCTGCAGCGTGTGGGTCCTCACAAAAGCCCCCAGTGGAGACTGACCCGGTTGGCAGAAGCAGAGACGGACTGCAGCCACAGCCACGTGCGAGCGCGGCATGGGGCAGGGGAAACCTAGGGCTGGCGCTTAAGCCAAGAGCAGCGTTGGCCTAATTTGCCGCTTCCTTGTATGCTGAGTACGAAGAGGACAACTCTCTTTTTAAGGGGGAAAACAGAAGGGAGGGAAGAAAAAAATGGCAATACTGGTGTTTCTCAGCTGCGATTGCAACAGCTGAGGGCAAATTCCTTCTAAAAGCTCGTGCTAAATTGGATGAGTAAAAACCTAGCAATAACTTTTATGGCCTGATTTGCTTAACTATTTCTTAATTGGTTTAAAATCTTCAAGTGGACAAAATTGGAGGCTGTAATAAGCTTCCAGAATAGGAACTGAACAGGTTTAAGCTCAGGCCAAAACTAGTATAACGGATTATTGATCTCCTGTGTCATGAACGGATACCGCAAGTTTTCATACAACTATACGCTACGCATGTAAGGGATGCTGACGTTTCTTTCAAGAAAAAATAATGACTTCTGTGCTGCAAGGACAGACGGAAAGTAATGCATCTGGTGCACTTAAGCAGCCCATTTGGCCAATCTGGAAATACATCCAGATTTAAACAAGGTCTATTGTTTAAAAAAAGAGCTGCAATCCTTGAATACCTGAATGAATTTGCTTTAAGCTTTATTTTGTAATAACTAAGTTTGATTACAGTTTCTGAACTTAGTTGTGCTTAGGGCATACCTTTAATGAGACAGATTACTTGCGGAGGAGGAGTTTTCCTACATTTGGTTTGCACTGGGAAGGATAAAGAGACCTTTCTACCAACCTTTGATTACATGTATATTTATGTATCTCCTTTCAGATTTGGAGAGGACAACTTCAGTAAAATGCCAGGTTCGTTGCAGGCACGCGGTAGCTTTTTTATTTGCCAAGTCACTTGATTGGTTTTTGGTTATTTACATACAATCCCAGAGCCTGCTGAATTTTGTTTGAGGTGAGCGTTCGCTGTCCCTGCCTCCTCCGCGAGTGGGGCTGCCCTGCAGCCCTGCAGTAACTTTTGCTGCGAGACTACCTCCGGGCCAAGGAGCCTCTCTTTCTTTTTTAAGTAGGACTTCACCCTGAGTGCTTCTTCGGTCGACGTCTTTAATAGTCCAACGGGACAGAATTTCAAAGACGCTTAACGTTTAGGTCGAGTTGTACGTGTTCTTTTTAATTGCTAATCCTGCTGGGAAGCGTTTGCCAACCTTCGAGGCGTCGTTCTCGGCCGGCGCGGGAGCAGACAGTGCCTGCAAACGCCCGCTGCTCCCACACCGCGGGGCAGGCCTTCGAGCGCCCAGCAATAGAACACTAGTAGCACTGTTTGGAAGGACTCGTACTCACAAAAATTACAAACTGTGGAATGTGGAGAATTCTGTATTGAGGGCTTTGGGGGGGTAAAAATGTTAAATAAATTAAACTGGCTACTACTATGTTCCCCCCCCCCCCCTAATATTCTGTTGTGAAATTTAGCTACATGTTTGTATCTGGATTGCCTTTCAGCAACGTTTCTGGATGTGTTAAATATCCTCGTTGCCACTTCATCCCTAGGTTCCTTTAGACTATTAGAAGTCATATTGCAATAGTGCAAGCATCTATTAGTATTATT